GCTGATTCATAGAAACCCCATCTACAAATACATCATGTGCTTGTGAAATGACGTATTATTTGCCAGCTTTCGATATACTTGAAGCAAAACTGGAATTTTCTCATGGGATTGTATATTGGGGTCAATCTTTGTTTGAAGGAGGTCATAAGTGCTACTAACCATTGGATATCAAATTAGAAGGCTTGGAGTGTGACATGATATTCGAAAAATATTTTTTTGAATTTTGAGTTTAGATAATAACGCACTCACAACCACTCAATTTGAAATCTGACAAATAAAAAAGATTGTGACTCCTTGAATTAGAAATAAAAAATCTCTTTGTATACTTTCTTTTTTCTCATTGTGTTGTTAGATGGACCTACAGGCTCGTCTTCTATGTTGGGTGTCCCGTCCCATGAGGGATGCCCCATTTGTGGGGGCTTGTCATGAAAGTCAAATTAATGACTTGTATTTTCAAGTCAAAAGGTTTTTACAAAATATAGGTCCCACGTGAGAATAATATTGGTTGAGATTCTCTCATTACTTTAGGTAGGGACCCAGCCAAGCCCACGTATGTAGAAATGCGGGTCTCTTAATAAATCTATTTTTGAGATGGATTTTACGATTTAATTTTTAAAGACATGTAATCTCTAACATGGAGATCATGAATATAAATAAATAATAAAATTTTAAAACTAGAAATAATAATTCTAATAAAAAACATTTAGACCGTTAGTTTCCAATGTTTTTAGATGGAATACCTATTTGCATCCATCTTTACGAGATTTAAACTTTGGACCGCACATAAAACTACGGTCCAGCCCACATGAAACAATTTTCTTTTAAAAAGAGGGGGTTATAGATATAAATTAGATAAGAGTGGTGTGTCTCATCTAGCAAAGTTCCTCTCTTGAAAGTGAGCCAATTCTTCGTGTACTAGAAAAATAAAGAGTCTTCTCTTAGAAAGAAGAAGAAGAGAGAGAAGCATGTTAGAAAAAGAAAGAAAAGAAAGCTTCCGAAAGAGAAAAGAGCATCAGAGAGGGAAAATATAGATAGAGAAAATCTCTAGAATAAGTCAGAAAGCCCAATAAATATTGCTTTCCAAAAAACTTGTAACAATTTATTTTTATTAATGGATGTCTCTTTCTGCTATGGATGTAATCTGAAAAGGTGAACCACATAAAATCACGGCATTAGTAAGTTATTATTTATTTTATTTGATTTATTACATGATATCCACTTATACACATACATCATTTTTTGTGTATTTTTTGTCTTATAAATCTGAGTTCTATTGTGTGTATCCGCATTTGTGCAAGAAGGCTTGATTGAGTAAACCCAATATTCTTAACATCTCATTGTGGTCGTAAGATACACTTGGCGACATATGACACACTTTATGGCAATGCCTTCAAACGACTGAAGGTTTAAAAAGAAAAAACGAACTTTAACATAAGACCACCTCAAGAAAGAAATCAAGATGTAGGAAACTCAAGTCATTGTGACTCCTCCATAAGCCACTCAAAGAGCTTAAAGCCCTTAAAATTGAAAAGCACTAACTCAATATAACGGAATCCCATAAAATTTAAAAGCACCAGCTCAATATAATGGAATATGGTGATCTGTCGTGACCGTAGAAATTGATAGAAGCGTGAAGCACTCCTCTTGCTCAATGCCCATGGAGACAAAACAAGGCCAACTTGTCACAAAAGGAGCGCACCCCAATGGACCACCATGAAGGCTTAATAGTGTGAGCAAAATATAATGGTACAAGTGGAAGCTTTCTTTCCAATTCCTTAGCCTTTAATCAAAGCACCATGACCTACTCTTTATGTCTCATATGATTATGTCACTATCAAGTGATAAGAGACGGAGGCCAAGGGATAGACGCAAGGAATATGATTTTTTAAGGCTGTAGAAAAATGGATGAGGTTTATGCAAGGCTTAGGATTTATGAAAACAAAATAAAGCCTCACCTCAAATCCTCGGGAAAGCACTTTCGGAATCTTCATGGCTCTAAAATCAATTTCCAACACCAAAAAAAAAAATTGAAAGTAAATTAGATGGTACCAATCTTTTGAATCTATAAACACTTATTTTTAGGGTGAAATAGACAGTTTAAATGATTTGTTACAATATACACTATTTTTAGAGCTTGAAATACTATTTTTTTTTCACAACCATAATGTTCAAGTCAAGATGATCGAATGTAAAGGTCTTCCAATACTTGAATTGTAATTTTCGATGAGTTATGAGGTGGGGCTTTACTTACTTTGATAGCGCTGCAGCCCTATCAAACAATTTCCTTAAAAAATTGTCTCCCCATTAAATAAGGAAAAAGTTTATATAAGTGCAAGGCTTTAAATAATTAAATTCAGGTGCACCTCAAAAATTTCACTAAAAGAGGTTGTTTTGATCCTCAAATTGATACATGGACATGAGAAAAAAAATGGATTTCAAGTTTTGAAAATAATACATATTATAATGTATTTTTGAAACATCAATTTTTAAGATTTTAAAATTTCCAATATCTGCTCGATCTACACTAAATTTTAAATTTTAAATTTTATAATTAAAAATAAAAATATATTTTAAGGCTATCACAAAGATTTCCCGTATTGAAACCACATTCTGAACGCTATCTAAAGGTGCACTTTACTTTGATTGTTTAAAGCATCTGCTTTATACAAATCACACCCATTAAATAAATACCAAAGGATTTATGCTTCTATCGGAGCATACTATTGAGATCCACGAGTATAACAGTGAAGCCTTGCCATTGAGATCTAACGCACTACAAAGCCTCGCCTCCTGTCCACATAAATCGCTAAAAGTACGCTAAGGTTATAGTTGTCACATTATTCACTTCTAAATTTTGAAGCTTATAAATATAGAAATATATACAATAAAACCATTCACTTTTTTATAAAATTTCCATATTTATAAGCCTCAAAATTTAGAAGTGAATAATGTGACAACTATAACCGTAACGTACTTTTAACGATTTATGTCGACATGAGGCGAGTCTTTGTAGTGCGTTAGATCTCAATGGCAAGGCTTCACTGTTATACTCGTGGATCTCAACAATATGCTCCGACAGAAGCATAAATCTTTTGGTTATAGCTGTCACATTATTCACTTCAAGTGTGTCATGGACATAGTCTAAAATAAAATTTTTGAAATACTATGAAATATTTTATCTATTGGATTTTGAATCCAATGACTAAAAATGATTATAACCTTCCTATAATAAAAATAAATGGTCAGGTAATAATATTAGGACTTCTCTAGATTAGTCGATGCAATCCTTCATACAGGATATAACATTTTAAATATCATTTCTCAAGGGTATTTTCATCTAATTACCAAATTGAAATGGTTCCTTTATGCCTCCACACCTATGAAACTCGATAGACTTGACTAGATTTAATTCATGAAAAATGTTTTAATAGTAATATGGTCAACTTAAAACTCCACGAAAATTGCAATTTTGGGGTAAAGAAACCTCTAAATTCAATCATCCCAGACCATGTGGTTATGAAAAAAAAACAAACATTGAAAATAATATGTTGTACACAGTATCTAAAAGAAAAAGATTATATAGAGCCAAGGCTCTAAACAATCATATTAGAACTCACCTCATTTCATTAGAAGCTGTTTTGATGCCCAAATATCCTCAAATTGATCATCTCTGCATCATGAACATGAGAAAGGAATAGATTTCAAATATTAGAAATAGTGCATCTTATAATGTATTTTTGGATTGTCAAATTTCAAGATTTTAAAGTTTTCATCGATGTGCTCAACCTATACTATTTTTGAAGCTTTAAATTTTATAATTAAAGATGAAAAAATATTTTAAAGCTATCTTGATATTATTTGAAATGACATTTCTTGATACTAGTTGAAGATGCGCTTTACTTTTCTTTAGTTTTAAATTTCATTGTTAGTGTTGAAAATTAATTTTAGAGCATCATTGGCCAAAGTGCTTTGGAGACAAGGATTCAAGGTGAGGTTTACTTTGTTTAAAGCCTAGGCATCTTAAATTCATTTACTTTGCTTTCGTTAAAAAAAAAACGAAAAAAAAATTGTACTTGGTTCAAATGCTTCCTAATAATAATATAAGGATGGACATCATTGATGAAATTCACTTAAAACTACTGCCAAAGGGTAGCAGCCATCCACTAAAAGAAAATAGTGCACATCTAACGAATCTTCAGGATTGAGACTAGCAATTAACCAAGGGCCTCTCCAAATTAACCCATTAGAAAATCCTTAATCCGAGTCCTTTTCAACACCACATTGATAAAAATTGTTGACATAGGTAGGTGGTCCTATTGTTCAAGTATTGCCGAAAGCCTCATGACTATTATTTATCTAATAACATTATTTACTTTTTATAATAATTTTATTTCCTTTAATTTATTTATTTATTTTCTTTGGTTTTTAAGCTACCTATCAATAATTCTTAAATGTTGTTCATATTGAGTCAAAACAGTCATGATGACTATACGTTTTCTTTAAGATTGAGAACAGAGCCAAAGGTCATGTTCAGCTATACGTTTTCTTTAAGAGTGAGTAAAATAGAAAATGAAGGAAGAAGGTTGAATGGTTGATAGAAGATCTTGACCACTAAATACAAAACTCGCCATTCATGGCGAGAGGATAAGCTCTAAAGTTTTTAAAATTCATTAAAAAAAAATAGCTCACTAATCTATTAAAGATACCAAAAAAAAATCTAAGAGTTGTGCCCATCTCTCCTCTTATCCATATACACCAAAACAAAAGTCCTCTCTCAGAATATATTTTCTGTCTACCATTTTAAAAAAAAAGTATTATTTTTATTATTTTCTGCAATGTAGGTACATTTAGATAAGACTCGAGAACAAAAAAAAAAAAAACAATTGAGAGAGAGAGGCCAGTCTTAAATCATTAAAACATGGTTGAAAGAGCGAGTTAAAAAACATGAGTAATGATATACTCTCCCACAACTATATCAAAAAAATCACACACAGACTTCCAAATAAAATAATCACGTACATATCTTGATTTTGTTTTTGTTTTAGAGATATATAACAAAATTAAAAGTGATCCTTGAAAAATAGTCCCAAGAGGGTCCGAGCGTCTCACTAGACCATTACCCTAAAAAACATATCCACCACCAGACCAAAACAAATTATACATCAACTTTTTAAATCAACTTATCAACAACCAAATACCAAAACAACACAGCAAAACCCCATAGAGGAAGCTCAAAAATAGAGGGGCATCAAAGCAGAAGGGAATATAAAGCCCTCAAAACAAAGCAAGATACAATAATAAACAAAATAGCATCAAATACAAAAGAAACCTTCTTCTTCTTCTTCACATGCAAAACTTGTAGAATGATTTCGTTTAGTGAGAGGGAGTAGTCTCTTCTCCACTGTTAGGGTGGTAGCCAGAGAACTTCTCTTTGATCTTCTCCAAGAAGCCCTTCTTTTCTTCATGGCTCTGCCCTTCAGGGTGTGGAGCACTGGTCTGCGGAGCACTCTCTGGAGCTTCGACAGGGTGCTGCGGAGCACCGTATCCTCCGCCACCGTGAAGTTTCTCCTTGATCTTCTCGGGCAATCCCTTCTTCTCCTTCTCGTGCGCGTGCTCCGCCCCCGCACAGTGTGGTGCTCCCTCTCCTGCTTTCTCTTTAACTGCCTCTGATCCACCTGACAGCTTCTCCTTAATCTTCTCCTTCAATCCCTTCCTCTCTTTCTTCTTTTTTTTCCATTCTTCCGCCTCTTCTTCATCGCTTGACTGGCAAAAACAAATCAAAGACAAAATCGAATCAGAATGATCAAGATCAAAGGTTTTTCTTGTCAGAAAAAAAAAAAAAAACCGAATCGAGATCAAAGAATCAAAAAGCTCAGATGATCAAAATCTCAGATGATCAACAGATCTCATTTGACGTTACTGAAACTTAGGTTTGAGATTAGGAAAAGAGGGAAGGTTTCTTACAGAGCTGGAGCTCGAGCTGCCCGAGCGGTGGAGCTTCTCGAGTAGGCTACCCTTCTTCTCCTCATCTTTCTCTTTCTCCTCCTTTTTCTCTTCAGAAACGTAGACCTCTTCAAACTTCGAAGCTAAGGCCTCTTCTTGCTTCTGTTCAGGGGTTTCAGGGTGATGGTGCCCAAAGAGCCCTCGCTCATGGACCTCCACACGGCCATCTCCGCTCTCGGGGACGACGCTTGTGGTGTGTTCATCGGCCATTTCAGCAAACAGGAAGTAGTGAGAGAGAGCAAAGGTAGAGAGAAACAAATCACAGATGGTAGAGAGAGAAACAGCAAAAATGACAGTAAGGTCAGAGAAGATGAACAGGAGACAATTAAGTGAGAGAGAGAGTAGAGTAGAGTAAAGAGTGGGGACCGAAATGGATGGAAGTTGTAATGGCAAGCAATAACCTTTTATAGACGCCTTTAGAGAGAGAGAGAGAACCGACACGGTTGCAACGCGCTGAGGAAGAGAGGAGCGGTGGAGGGGAGGGAAAGAAGGGAGCGAAGGCTCCAGATACGTGATGATTTGGCCTCGACCGACACGGTAAAGCTGTGGGACCCAAACTGCGGCCAATAGTTTATCGCCAGGTGGATGACGTGTGGTCATGTCTAGGTGTGAAGCCGGGCGACAGCTAGATTTGGAATGCTGAGTCACCTTTCCGATTTTCAATGTACGCTCGACACGTGCTAGTAAGGGATTGGATACGGTTCATCTGGGTCCCGGTTTCAAAACTCTCGGGGTCCGCTCTCCCTGCTCTGGACGGTGGCCGACTGTTGGCGACCTCAGCGCTTTGGGAGGCCAAACACGTCGTAGCAGACGAAGGTTTGCTGAGAGTCTTAGGACACATATGTGGATATGCGGTCCTTCTTTTTAATCTATTTAATTTTGATTTGATTTTTATGGAAAAAATTTATATAATGTTGCAACCTTAAAATGTAGAATTACATATGCACCTTAAAAATTCATCGTAGAAGATTTTTTTAACATTGAAAAACCCTCATTTCGACATTGAGATATATGAATATAAAAAAAAAAAGGATTTTAAATCCCAAAACTAGTGCATTTTGTAACACATTATCTACACCGTACATTTTCAAGATTTTCATATGTTTATAGATCTACTTGATTTTAACCATTTTAGAATTTAAAATTTTATAGTTAGATATAAAAATAGATTTCAAATAAGGGTGCGGTTTGTATAGAGCCTAGGCTCTAAACAATCAAATTAGAGCCTACATTCAAATGATGTCGAGAAATGTGGTTTCAATATTAAAAATCTTTGTGAAAGCCTTAAATATATTTTCGTACTTATTTATAAAGTTTAAAGCTTCAAAAAATAATGTCGATCGACATATTTCTGATAACTTGAAAATCTTGAAAATTAACGGTCCAAAAATGCGTTACAAAATACACTATTTTCAAAACTTGAAATCCATTTTTTTTCTGATGTCCATGCATCTTGATGCCGAGATGATCAATTTGATGAAATTTGGGCATCAAAAC